TTTTTTTTGAAAAGCCCTTTTGCAAAGCCTCTATTCCAGTGGTGGTAAGAGAACCACTTTCTTTTGGCAAGTGTTCAAGGAAGCAATGTTGTTAGCGAAGTCTGCCCCTCTGGCGATGACGTTGACGTTAGGAGACGGCACATACCTCATGCTCCTTGGAAAAATTGTTGTCCGATGACGACTAGAGAACCCGTGGCCTCGGTTTTGGGAAGTCTAACCCTGACGATGATGACATGGATTCAGCAGACTCGAACCTGTGACCTTTAAACCAACAGTACTTGGCCCAGCTACCGGTGGCGGTTGGCTCGCGTACCTCTTTCTCTGGTATAGATAGAGGCGCGTTAGCGGGAATTTCCCAGTTTCAAAATCGGATATTATTATTACCAAGAAAGCTTTAGACAAACAAGTCGTAGGCGCGCCGCGGCGCGGTTGGGGAGAGGGGAAAGGCGAGCATGTTGCGACTGACAGTGGAGATCAGTCCCCACGGATGGAACTTGACAGAAATTTTTACTGAATGTTTAAATCCTGACTCAGCACCTCCCCTATCGCGATTTCTATCTTCCCCGTCCATCCTGAGTCCCGTTTTCCATGTTCCCCATTTCGACGTCCACCTTGTTCATTTCTCCTGCAATCTGACCACCCATCCTGATCCTCCTTCTCCTGATCTGTTTTCCAATGCCGAATTTGACGGAAATTCTGATCAAATGCATTCTAACATCACAGTATCATTGTATCCCGACTGACAGCGGAGATCAGTCCCATCAGGGCAGAAAGAAGACAAAGGAGGCGAGTCGAACTTGTTTTGTGATGTTGTCTGAAGAAAGGAAAAAGGGAGGAGAGGTGAAGAAAAAAAAAAGGGGGGGGGGAAAAAAAGGGGAAACAGGTAGTCGGAGAAGAGCATAGTGCTCTCTTTCTCTCTGTGTCTTTCTCTCTCTCTCTCTCTGTTTTCTGTGTGTCTGTTGAGAGGGAAGGGAAGGAGGTTGCGGGGCAGAAAGAACACGAAGGAGGCGAGTGTGTTGTTCATTCGGTTGCCGGAAAAAAGATGTGTGGAAGTTGTTGTGTTATCTTGTGCGAACAAAGGAGAAAGGGAGGAGAGGTGAAGGGGAAAGAAAGGGAAAAAAAAAAACGCTGTTTGTTGAACTTGTTTTGTGATGTTGTCTCAAGAAAGGAAAAAGGGAGGAGAGTTGAAGAAAAAAAGAAGGGAAAGAAAAAAAAGTGGAAATAGGTAGCTGGAGAAGAGCACAGTGCTCTGTCTCTCTCTCTCTCTCTCTCTCTCTCTCTCTCTCTCTCTCTCTCTCTCTCTCTTTGTTTGTTTTTCTCTCTCTCTCTCTCTCTCNTCTCTCTCTCTCTCTCTCTCTCTCTCTCTCTCTCTCTCTCTCTCTCTCTCTCTCTCTCTCTCTCTCTCTCTCTCTCTCTCTCTCTCTTTGTATCTCGCTCTCTTGCTTTGGCTTTCTCTGTCTTTTTCTGCGTCTCTTTGTCTCAGTCTCTATTTGTTGAAGGCGGAGGCTGGCATTTTTGCAGACGGGAAGCGGCGGACGAATCAGCACTTGTGCAGTCGATGAGCTGCCGTTCTCGTGGCCTGTCTTTGCTGTCTTCTGCCATGTGAGGAAGCAATCATGTGTGTCTTGTCCAGTCTTCGATCTCCAGCAGCCGAACAGCCTGTTGTACGACAGAATGACGGTAGTTAGCATATGGCATCTCAGCAGGCCTGTTGCCATTGTAGTAAATTTTGAGGAGATCATCAATGTATTGCCAAGTGTGTCGTTGTGAATGGATGGTGTGGAGTGCGTAGGAGTATCGGGTGGTCAGGATGTTGTGAATCTGAGTAAGAGATCGGGCTGTACCGAATCGTCTCAGCGGATGCCACCAATCACTTGCTGTGAGCAGACCAGGCATTGTTGGTTGGGGTGTTGGGCGAGGAGGGATGTGTGGAAAGCGATTTGGTTGACAGCGTCGATGATTCGATCATTTTTGTATTTGGCGAGACCATCAGTTGTGTCGTAAGTGTGTAGAAGCGAGCTGTAGAGGATGCGATGCAAGAAGTCTTTCATGTTGACGTAGGCTGCAGTGGGATGGGTTGCTGGGAGCGGTTTTTTGGCGTCTTGTTCTCGTTGATGTGCATAGGTTTCAAATAGAGAGAAGATGAGTGGTGAGCAGAGGGCGCGGTCTGTGAGCAAGAAGTCTTCCCAGAGAATTTGGCGGATGACATCTTCGACATTTGTTGTTGTCAAGACAGTTTTCCATGCAGTCCATTGTGCAGGATCGTCGGGGGATGGGGAGATTTCGTTGGTGAGCAGAGTCGGGTGTGAAGGAGATGAGGGTGATGGTGTAATATGGGGAGAATCAGATAGGCAAAGAGGTTGAGTGGTTGTTGCAAGAGAGGAAGTTGTTGCAGCCAGATGCTCTTGTGATCTTTGGGGTTTGTATGACTCAGTTTCTTCATGTTGATTGGTATGTTGAACACCTGTAAAAAAAAGCAAGCAAATGAAAGGAAGGTGTTAGAAAAAAAACAGTGGAGTGAAGAGAGGGGGTGTACCTGATTGTTTATCTGAACAGCGACGTAGATGCCGCCTGCAAATGTTCATCAAGAAAAAAACAGACATTGCTCCCGAAGAGGCCGGTCATGTGAGGATTTCTTTGTAAACAACATTTTTCGTGAGGCAGCTGGTGTCGGGCATGGCAAACCGAATGCGGTCCGGGT